CATAAATCATATGAGTTTCATCAAATCTAAAATGGGTCATAATTTCAAGGTGAACTTTAAGTACTTTCACTTTATGAATTATGTTGAAATGAGGAGTTGTTTAGTTTATACGATAATTTTGATGTGCAAAATATGAATTATAAATGATGTCGTGATTACAATAGCGTAAATGCGATGATTGAGTAAAGTGGAGAATATTTGTAGAAATAATATTGATACTTACCCAGGTAGCGTAGTATCGTAAGCCTCAATATGTTAATATTGAGCAAATGAAATTGTGAAAAAAGTAAACATTACACGTTGTATGATGATCATTTGGTGAAAGTTTATCTAAGGAGATGAGTAAAAAATTCATATGATATTCATAACTTCCTTTTCATGCACGAATATTAGCCCCATCTCATAGTTTGTTAAGGGATTAGAACCTAACTATTTTTGCCTATTTGTCAAGGAGATTAGCCTAGGGTATACAACACTCCAAAGATTTAAGAGTGGGGGAAACTATAGTCTGAAAGTAAGTGCCGTGATCTTTAACATGGTCACAACTCACAAATAACGAGCTTGAAAAGTTTAGTTATACGAACGGAGCCTTGATTGATATTATAGTTTACAGTTTCGGTTAGAAGATGTAAGAAGGGTATAAGGAGGAATTGACTATGTAGATGTGCATGTACAGCATGTCACATGATTGTTAAATTTGTGATAAGTAGTGATAGTAAATGTGTCGTTGCCACATGGTTGTCGTTAATGTGTATCGAGTTGTGAGTTGGATTATTGTTATATGTTTGTAAGTATTGAGATAATGTACCTTGTGATTTGAAATATGAAATATGAAAAAAAGTTTAATTGTGAAAGTTTAACTGTGTTATGTATAATCATATATTTTGAGTATTCAAACTCTCTCTTGCGTGTTTTAATTAATTGATATGCAATTGCATATGATTAGATGTACTTTGATTATTTAGTGGTTTTACTCGCCCACCTCTTTTAAAATTTTACAGGCTAGAGCGCCAACGTGGAAAGGGAAAAAGCTCCAGAGGCTTGGCAATGTAGTATTTATACTGTAAAGCCTCTTAACTTTATTTAATTTTGTTTAATAGTTATAATATTGCCACTTATAATGCATTTTTTGCATATACTTGCACTACGTTAATATTTTGTAATTTGAATTTTTTTTGGGCCCTAGGATGTTGTATACAAGTTGCTAAAGTGTTGCTAAGACTAAAAAACTAGTACAAATGTAGAAGTATTGATTTCATCACAATTATGAATATTGATTGAAAAATTCTATGCTAAAACCTCCCTCATATGGTTTTGGTGTTAAAGAGATTAGGGAGTGAAAAATTTATATTATTGAATATACATGTATATGGTGTCTTGTACAAGCAGTCTTGAGGCCTTTAGGTGTGTTATGGGTGTTAGGAATATTTTTTGGTACGTGTGTGGGTTTTTAGACACCTTTGAGTCATTAAACGTATGAAAAATTGTAAAAATATATTTAAGTATCTATCTTCCTTGTGTAATCTAGTTTGAAAATACAATCTGTGTCATTAACTATTTTATAAACAAATCTTTCTGTAAACACCTAGATTAACTTATTCAAATATCGGACAAAGAAATAGGGCACGTTGGAAGTTACGACGGGGTTACTATGTGATATGTGCAACACGCCGTAATGCATGGCTCCTAAGTTGCAGCGCGTTGCCCTGTTTTTCATGTCTTGATATTTCTCAATTGATTTTGAGTCTTTTCATTATCATAAGATATTCCACATTTTTGAAACATTATTTTACTCTGAGTATAAGTTTGTTAAACTATCTTTGAGTAATTTTAAACCATATACAATTTGGCATCTCATTTTTATAAATTACAAACTTGATAATTTAATTAGTTTACCCTGATGATTGCCTTAGAATTTTGTAGTTAAATGTGATTAGGTAAAGAGATTTTACACTTTATATAAGAACTCTTTGCAGTTCTTATTCTTGAGTTGAAATTGAGAAATAAAGGCAAAAAAATTGAAGAGATTGATATGTTGCGGGTCTCATAAGTTCCAAAACAAACAATGTTTGATGAAAATTGATGGTAAAGTATTGAATGGTCCATTTTTTTATAGTAGAGGCTACCCAATGCTCTTTGAAAAATAATTAATGGCTAAATTTGTACCTTTACACATGCTGACGTGGAGCGCCACGTGTTATTTTAGTCAAAAATTGGTAGGCCTCACATAGAAGTTAGCATCTATTAAATGAAAATTAACAGAGACTACTGTATGCTTCGTTTTCAAAAAAATTGAGAATTTATTTTATGTCACCTAATAGTACAGGCTATCTAGTGTTCTTAAAAAAGTAGTTGGAACCAAATTTACACATTTACCCTTTAAATAATTCGAGTTAAGCAAGATAATTATGACCCTCTATAAATAGCCTTTTGATATCGTAAAGGTTTCAATCAAACTCTAACAAATTTTAAAACCTTACTAAAATATACATATCAAATTGCTTGAACTCAAAGCACTGTTAAATATAAAATCAAATCAATTAGTAGATGAGTCTAACATGTAGGTCTAATATATTTGAATTTTGAAAGCACGATAAATTTTGAAAAAATAATAATAAAATTTTATCAAAATATATAAATAACAATCAAATTTTTTAAAATATAATAATTTTTTTGAAATGCATGGATACATTTATGACATTAATGATTTTAGGTTAAAAGATTAAATTGTCCTTGTTTAAAATAAAAACAACAAATCTAGCTCTATTTTTTCAATTATAACTTTTGTTTAAATAATTATAACTTTTATTCTGTTAATTGCAAGAATTGAGTAAAAAATCATAACTTTTTACATGAAATTTTTTTTATAATTGATAAGCAAATTACGAAAAAACAAATTCTAGTCACAAATTTTATTTAAGAAATCACAATTTTAATTATGTTAATCATAAAAATTAAATAAAAAATTACTCCTTTTACATGAAATTTATTTTATCATTGAAGTCTAAGTTTTGAAAATAATTAATCATAGCTTTTATTTTGTGAATTACAAATGTTAAATAAAAAATCATAATTTCACATATGAAATTTCTTTTATGACAGAAATCAAAGTTCTAAAAATAATTAGTTATAATTTTTATTTAGGTAATCGCAACTTTTTTTTCCTGTGAATCACAATAATTAAATAGAAAATCACTTCTCACATGAACTCATTATTTTTAAATTTTAAATAATGAGCAATTTAATTATTCAACTTGGAATTATTAATGTTAGAAAAATATCCAAAATTTTTTAGAAAAATTATGACATTTCTGTAGACCTAATTTTCATTTATATATTTCAATAAGATTTTATTCTCACTTTCTCATAAATTTTCTAGTAGTAAAATCAATTACATCATTTTAATTACAGTAAAAATTTCAACCGATAAACTTCAGAAGGTACAGTTATCAGTAACCAGAATATACCAAGGATTACACACCCTGGATATTTGTCTTTGTCCCAAGATTCATATTATTTGCACGTTATATTGGTAATTAGATTTGCCTGGGGGTATCATTGATCTGGATTCAAATCTACTGATGGATTAATAGATGGATTTGATATATTTGAATTTATAAATGAGAATAAATATAAATATTTTTACTGAAGCCACTAAGCGTGTCAATTATATCAGTTTAATTAAAATCCGCACCTGTAATTTTTTTCATAAATCAACTACAGTGTACAGATAGTTGATTTGAAAAATAAAACATTCATAATTTTCCATGACAGAATACTCAACACTATCGAAAATTATGTTCCAGCAGTTTTCAATTTTGAAAATACCTTAACAATTTAAGGTTGAAAATTACACTAGAAAATAGAAAATAGGGAGAATTTTAATTAAGAATTTGGAAAGAGATTTAATTTTAAGTGGATCCAAAATATTTTGAAATTTCAATTAAACCTAAGGAAACAAAGTCAAAAGAATTTCAATATTAAAAAGATTAAAATACCCTTCATGTGTTATACAGAATCATTAATTGTTAATTTTTTTATTATATTTATTATTTTACTAATATTACTTGTAAATTGCATTCATTTGTTAGACAATCATAATCATTAGTTGTTAATTTATTAACTTTACTTGTTAGTTTATTAACATCAGTTATAAATTACAAGATCTATCAATAATTTACAATTAATGTTAGTGAATTACAAGATTTTTTTATAATTTATAATTGATATTAGTAAATTAACAAGTAAAATTAACATATTATTGTTTATGATTGAAAAACTAATGTTACAAGTCTTATATAATTATTGGCATGTTAACTTATATAATTTATAATTCATATTCATAAATTAACCAATGGATCATCAAAATTTAAAACTAGTGACTATACATGATAGGTGAAGAGCATTTTAAACTTTTTACCATCAAAATTTTTTTAATTTTATTCCTTTGAATTGAATTAAAATTTTTAAATATTTTTAAACTCACTTAAAATTAAGGATTTTTCCGTATTCTTAACTGTCTCCCTAACAAATATTCAGTAGTTGATACCTGTCAATCAATATATGAATATATTATCAAAAAACACGATCCCATGTCACCAGAGAAGTTTTGTAAATTTACTTTCAATAGTAAATGGTTAATACCTCTCATTGGTCTTAGAGACTCCGACTCAAAGGCTTGCATGCCTGCGTTCCTCTTCTTCCTTTTCTAATTACGAATTTACTATGGGATAATAGAGTATATGATTATATATAATTATCATATATCAAATAAAATTAGTACAACTGTTATATATTATCTATTAATTAACCCTCGTTCCTCTCATAAGAATAACATTTTATGTCATTTTTTAAAAAAAATTAAAAATTAATATCTGTCAATCTAAATATTCTGGGATCAAGATGTTGAAAACCAGATCATGCATTTATAGTTTTATAAAGAAGTCAGGATATTACACGGAACATGGACGTATAAATATCACATTTTCCTAATGCCACAGTAAAAGAACAAAGAACACCACCACCACAGTGGGCAAATAGAACATAGACGGCGAAGCAAATGACCAAATCGCCGAAGGGCCACTAGCTTTCTTCGTTATCGTTTCCAAAACGTCCAAAAACAGAGCCAAACAGAGCAAGTTAAAAGCTTCGCAGCATTTTTGACGACCACAGAGACAAGCAGAGACGAAGATGGGTTTATTGGCGAAGGCAAAGGCAAAATATGATAGTAACGCGAGCGCCGCCGACAGCAACTCTAAGAACATGGGTCTTCTAGTGGTCTTCTTCCCTGAAGGCGATTCTGCCATTGCCGACAAAACCAAGCTTTTTTCTACCCCCTCCATTGCTTCATCTTCATGTTCTTCATCCGCCTCTAGATCACCTGCTTCCTCCGTCAGAAGAAGAAATTCCAACTTCCTCCTCTCCAAAGCTCAATCCACAATTTCAATCTGCGCGCTCTTCATCTTCATCACTCTCCTTCTCTTCACTCTCTCTACTTTCGAACCCTCTCATCCTTCCCCCCACAATACCCTTCTTCACGCCCCTCCTCGTCGATTCCTATCACAGAAACCTCCCACCATTCGCAATATCCCCACCAATCCCACTTCGAAACCCAAAATCCACAACTGGTTACTCCAAATGTGGAAACCCAAATCGTATGAAGCATCAAAGACCGAGCTTTCCTCCCCTTCAACTGCTCTACAACGAATGGGCACCCTGTATCGAAGAGGAACCAGAGCCATGAGTGATCTCGTTGTGGCTCACGTAGTTGAAGACACCATCGAAGATGAACTCCGTTTATTTCTCAGAGTTCTGCACCGCTCTGGTCTCACTGCTAGATCTGATGTTGTTTTCATCTTCGCTTCTGCTTCCTCATCTTCAAGATTCGCCTCCAGTATTCAGCAAGAGAACGACTTGTTCTTGTCACTTATTGACCATTATGCAGAATTGAACTTGACGGACATGAGCCTGAAGAAGAAGCCGGAGTCGTATTTCGACGCGGCTCGGTTTTTTAAGGTTGGCAAGAAGGGAAAGGTAATCGGGGAGCCATTGTGGGGGAAGAAATCCCGAAGCAATCTCACAAACCCAGAAGCAGATAAAGGTGACAACGAGGTGGCTCAGTTGAGTTACGGGTCGGTTCTTAGCTTTGACGCCACTGAGTTAGACCCGGAAAACTCGCTGGCCGGTTTTCTAGATCACGTCCCGTTAAAATTGCGAAGATGGGCCTGTTATCCCATGTTACTGGGTCGAGTCAGGCGGAACTTCAAGCACGTAATGCTCGCGGACGCGAAGAATCTGGTCGTGACAAACGACCCATTGGGACGAATCAGGAATCGGAGCTCCGAGTCCGTTTTTATGTACGCTGACAGTAAGCATAGTAAGAAGACCTCCGACAAATCTCATTCTAACCGCCCGGTTGACTCTGCCGTCGTAATGGGCGGCGAGCGCGGGATCCGGAGATTATCGAATGCGATGTTGATAGGGATCGTTCGAGCCGCGACGCAACACAAGAAGAGGAACTCGGTGTCCGAATCAGCGATACTGAGTCAACTCGTCAGCAACGGGTTCGTGTTGAAGAACGTCGATTTGATCACGTCGACCGAGTCGATACCGGACGCGACTACACTCGGAGGCCGCAACTCAGCTGCTGTTCCGTCACTCTCTGATTATCCTATAATTCGACGTGGTTCGAGTAATCGTGAGTTAAATTCTGTTATTAAGAAACAGTTATGTTCTTCTGACATAGATTCTTCTGTTTATAGAGATTGTTGGCGAAGCGTATAGACAGTCTTGACAAAAAATAAGGTGGGAAATAATCAATTTTTTTTCTTCTTCTTCTGGATTCACGCCTACTGGTCACCGTGTGATTCGATCAGTTTTGTTGTAATACATGTACATATTCATGGTGGGACTATATTTTTGTAGTGTTGTATTCGAGAAAGTTATGGAGCAGTGTGAGCGGAGTGGAGCTGACAGAGAAATTTGACCGTGCAGCCCAAAAAAACCCTTACTTTTATTGCTTGACTTTGGTCCTTTTTCCGAGATCTCCATTATTAATTAATCAAGTAAATACATTGTATTTTGAAATTTACATCAGCCATTGACAATGGAGCAGTACAGGGCATTCTTCTAAGAGATAGACTAGAGTTGCTTGCTGTTGCTGGAGAAGATCCCAGGCGCGAGAAAAGGGAAAGGTGGGGTGTTTGTGGGGAAAGAAAGTGAAGGAAAATGAAAAAAAGAAAAATGAGAAAAAAAGAGGACATGTGGTGCTGATCTGCTATTAGGCTGGGGGCAGAGTCCGTGTTGGTAATTAATGAGAGGGCAAGGGATGCATTAATTTTCGGAAATTCCAGCTTTTAAAAAGAAAAAGGCTACCAAAACGTGCTGATTACGCGCCTTTGCTGTTTCTCTTGCCCCCCAAACAAGGCCTTTTCAGGCGTGCCTCTTGCCTGTGTAGTAGTACTGGCATTAACTTTGTAGGCTGTAAAGTTGAGTGGAGGCTTATTTTAACCAAGAAAGGCCACTGTTGGATCACTGTTAGTATGCGTTTAGGTTTTCGTAATATTTTTAATAGGTAAACAAATTGAGTAATGATCCCAGAATTGAGCCAACCAAGTTAATGCTCATTCACTCTAAATTATACCCCCAAGACATGCCAACCTCGCAACTTGCCAAGTATGGACCATCCTCTTCTACTTACAATATAGGTTTTTTTTTTTTTTTTTAGTTTCCTCTTCCTCCCTCGTATGGGGAATTTTTTTCAATTAACCACACTAATAACTAATTTATATTTCTTCGCTCTGGTTTCGATAGCGAGAGACCGAGTCTCGTTTTTGTTATATCTTTTAAATTCAATAATATTAATGAAAACATGTTTTGACAAACTAAAACCCTTCATTACCTTTCGTGAAAAATGGTCAGCATGAACAACTGGACAAGATCTCGTGTGGTTAATGGGCAATTGGAACCGGGAAAGTAACTTAGTAAAAAATATCAACAGCTGTTCCTGGTGAAGAAGAGTTTTGACTATCTAAATGTAACATCTTAGATTCAAGTCCATGCAAATGTAAGAAAAAATGTCTTTAAAAAATTATCTCTAATTAAAAGTCGATAATGTGTAAATATGATGGGTCAATTAGTCATCTAAAAAAAATTAACCTGGACAAAATAAACAGAGGGTGTGTGTGTTTTGGCTTTGGATGCCAAGTGCCAATGAGAAAGTGATTGACACCGTCTTTTCACGGGAAAAGCCACCTCACCGACACCAACTCATGGTGATCTACGCGTCACACCATAATTGATTCCGGACTAGACCTGTGTCTTCTTCCTTATTATTTCTGTAGTATAGGCAAGCCTCCACTCGAGAGCCCCCACAAGATCACTAATATATTAAAGTTGCCTATCATTGCAATATTATGGGCCTATTCTAATTTTCTTTCAAATTCTCCGATTATGCTCCAATGCTAAAACTATTTTGTCAACAATTGATTCATCGTAGAACAGTACAGTAATATTATTTATGCATTATAGGCCTATTCTAATCGGACAGAATCCCCAGAAAAGAAATCCAGTTTCATGGGTTATTATTCACGTATATTTGTGGTTGTAGAACATCTATCTATCGGTATATCCAACAATATTGAATAATTACAGGTCCTGGAATCTATCTGGTCTTGGCCCCCACTTTTTGACATTAATTACCAATATATTTTCATGTGCTTCAATATGTACGGCTAGCTACGAGAGATCTTAATTTATGCGTCCTCAAATTTCCCATGTACACACTCTGATCTCCGTTTCTTCGATCGTTCCCTTCTCCCGTTATTCCATCTAAAAATTACGTCATTTCTGATTGTTATCAGACCACTAATTATACAGTTCTGTACCACGTAGTCGTGCGAAATTACAGTTTCTTTGGCATTTTTTCCTTCTTGTTTCCTAATCAAATTAAGATTAATGTAATAGCAGCAACCTGTGGGATCATCTCTCGTATATAATATGCATATCAACAAGTTACACGCGCGCGGATAATAAAACTAGGTTATGCGAGTTGATGACGAAAACTTGTATGAATAATGAAATAGTGTTTGTTTCAACGCTCCTTGACAGGAAGGAAAGAATCCAGGGCTTTTTGTAATTGAAACCGGCCGATCATTGTCTGAGATTTTGAATTTATTCACTGACGTGGGTTGCTAGATTAAGTAAGCAAGTTATATTAGTTTATAATAATAAGGTTGAAGTAACCTGAATATATATATATATATATATATGTTAATTTATTAAAGCCGCGCTATGCCAAGCATTTTGCCGTTGGAAGCACGAAAACTCAAAATCCATAGTCATTATTTTTAAGAAAGAGAAGGAAAAGAGAGCCTACTTACGAGACTGAGAGTGGCTTTCATGCTTTCGGTGTTAAATGTGTAGCACGGGTCCAAAGCAAAAAGCCAAGCATTCAAGTGCATGTGAGCTCCCTTTAAATTTTCCCATTGCTATGTATCTCGAGTTTTCACAAAAAAAAAAAAAATCATAAAATTCCGCATAAATGTAAGTTTAATTTTTAAAGCCATGGGTATACTAACCAAAATCACTTATTTACATCTTTTTATTTATTTCATTTTTTTAGAGCATGCCATCAAGAGGGCCTTCACTATGGTAAGATTTGGTTAAAGGTCGACGGTGTGAAAACAACAGAAGTCCTAATTTATTTAAGAGAGACAAAGTGGGATGGGTATTCTAGTGCTCAAATATTCCCAAAATCCTAAAGGATGCTCACGAAGCTTGCGAGAAACTGATAACGCTCGCATGTGAAGACAAATTGATTAATGTATTGCATGTGTTTGTGAATGTGAGTGTGAACCTCACGTCACTACCTTTCCTTCAACTCTTCTGGAAGCAGCCTCACAATGCTTATCTGTTTTCAATCCTAACTATGATCGTGGGATTCAGTGACAAAAAACACACGCATATGTGTGTGTGTGTGTTCTCACATTTCACATTGCATCAGGCGTACATATTTAAGGCAGCCCATAGCAAGACTGTGACGGGGTTTCTGTTAGGGACCAGGGTCCTGTGGATTAAAAGAGGTGGGGTTTGAGTGGAGAAAGGTTTTGGGACCAGTTATTTATAGTATATTTTTTGGGTTGAGATAATTTACTTTTAGTTTCTCTTCGGTTAAAAAAATCTACTTTAATTAATTACTTCAATAATTCATCAAGCCTGGAATCTGCGGTGTTTCACTTCTCTTGGAGCTTATTGTCTCGGCCTTGGTTCGTCACATTATGCTGATGCTTTTAGTTTGCATTCTTTTAATTAATTGTGTTTGCTTATTATAAAGAGTCACTTAAACTAATTATTAATTGTACGGCTGTATCTCACTTTGCAGGCATAATTGAATTCCCTATTGTGTGTTTGTTGCATTCAAAGATCAAAATAATCCCGGTGATCTTATGTTGTTATATATCAAGACAAATAAATGGATGATAAATATGGGTCCCGATTAAAAGGCAAGAATTATGAGGACGAAAAGAATTAATCCCATGATACTGGTGAAAAAAAAAAAAGAATTAATCCCGTGATTGATTATCGGGTGACTTTATTATTTCCAACTATATAATGCTAACGAGGATAAAATAACTTCCTGCAGTGAAAAGTAGGTATTTTACCTGAAATAATATGACGTTTTTTGGAAACTTTGCTTGACCTAATATATAGAGCATTAAATAGGTTATATATATATTTTTTAATTATACCCTTGCATTATTATACTTCCTTATGTAGTAAATAATGATGTTTTGAATAAGTTAAATATTATATTAATTCTACTTAAGAGCATGATTGAAAAGATGTTAATCAATTTTTAAAAAATGTAGATTACTCCTCCCACCCTAAATTATAAAATATTTTTAGATAAAATTTTGCATATCAATGAACTTTATTAAATACACTTAACAATTTTATTTTTTTAAAATAAAAATATAAAGTTTCAAAAATATCCTCCATTTAATAATTTTAAATCTGCATTTAATTAGTACCCCTTCGGTCCTATTTATAAAATACTTTCTAGATGTAATCTTTGTTTTAAAATATAGGATGCCTTATAATAATTAAACCACTTTTTTTAATTTTATTCCTTTCTTGATTAATGTAAAAATATTTAATATAGTTGTAATATTATTTAAAGTTAAGGGTAAAAATGAAATTACATCTCACTTTTTTTATAATATCAAGAGAAAAATTAAATTTTCTTAATATGTATGAAACAATTGAAAGTGTCATATAATAAAGACCAGAGAAAATATTAAATAGAGAGATAAAGGATAATATTAAAATAAACTTATTTAATAAAACTTTAATCTTTTCAAAGTGTCTTACATTTTAAAACGATAATTTTTTTTATATGTCTTATAATTTAAGATGAATGGAATAATTAACAATCACATGGTTCTATAATTTGGAAGGAGTTTGCAAGAGGTCCTGAAGATTCAAATGTACTGGTGATTTTAATATTTCATTCAAGTTGGTTACTGTTTGACATGAAAATAAACATGATAAAAAGATGGAGGGACCATACAAATATTTAAAAAAAAAAATGAAGTGAAGACATGATATTTATCAGCATTATTTAATAGACTTGGTTTCTCTCTATTTCCCTTCTTTTCACTTTCTCTTCACTTTTATTTCAATCATTGAATCCATTTTGAATAGTTGAGATCCAATGTTTTATAAAATTATTATTAAAATGTGAAATTTAGAAAAATAAATGAATAAATTTAAAATATAACTAATTTAATATAAACTATACAATTCAAGATTTAGGACTGTAATTAAAAAATAAAATTTATAAAACTTTAAATTTTAATTATTAAATAAATTTAAGAATTGAGATGAGAAGTGGAGAGGAAGATGAAAGAGGAAAAATGAAAATAAAACAAGTCTTTATTTAACATATCTTTATCATTCAAGGTAAGGGCGTGATATTTTTTTTTTTGTAATTATTTATAATCATAATACACTCTTTGTATATCCCAGTCGCTATCTTATTTCTTTATCATAAACTGGGGCGTACTATCGCTTGAGCTGTTGATTAGAGTTATCTTTATGATTATATATACATTAGCCATTGAATTGGACTCGTTTAACTTCATGCACACTTTGAGAAAAATTCCAGCCTCAATTATTCCCTCACAGGCCTTTCATTAAAGGTCACTTTAAACGATAGTGACGGGTTTTCTTTTTCTTTCAAACTGTATAATCAGGCACTTCATTATTACGGTTAGGTGAAAGGTATTCTAATAAACTTATTGCTGTCTGGTCATCACCGAGACACGTACTCATAATTTGAAAACTTTCTGAGAACAGTTTATGTGCAGAGAGTATGTGTATATATATATATATATATAATTTCATATATATACGATAGTCGTGCTTTAGTCTGATAATTTTCCTAATAATAGTACTTGGAATTTGTCCAGCTTCAAACAATTAAATCTCGTGAAGATGTAATGATGTGGTGTGAAAAATGAAAAATCAATGTGTGACCGTTGACTTTCTTGCCTTCTTTTATTCACATGTATCATCATGGCTGCACGCACAGTGCATTATTACCTAAATTAATTTGAGTTACTTTAACCACCTACTCCTCAATCTACTGCGTTACATTCTCAATCAGGATCAACTATTAAAAATTTAATTCAAGGATATTGTTTTGAATTATTCCAACTAAGTTGCTTGACCCAAGCTATGTAATGTGGCAGACAGTTAAGATTGAATATACAAGTGGTAGATAAATACTCCAACCAATCTCTATTAATTACAAAGTACGCATCCAATCACCTCATTAGATCTAGAAAAAATTGGTCAAGTCATTAATTTTATTTGAAAATATGATAAATTTGTAATTTTATTCATATTTAAATAAAAAGTGTTAAAATTTCAGTATTCTTTTTATCATAATTAATAAGCTTAAATATGAGTAGTATTGAAAAAATACAATTCGTATGCCATCAAGTCCCTTTATACAAGACAAAAAAATTCTTTCTTAAAGACGTTCTTTAATAGAGACTATTGAGGGGTGTTTGTAATTGTTTTTTTGTAATCAATAAAATTGACTCTTTTTCTGAAAAAGAAAAAAGACTTGAGTAGTACGGTGAATTGTTGAGAAAGTTGAAAGATTTTAAATCAGATCATCACGGCAAACATTTAAATTTTGACTCTTGAGTGTACTATCCCTTGTTTTCCAGACAGTGATTCCTACGCTCGCGATGGAATGGAATCGCGCAGAAAAGTGGATGGAATATAATTCAGAAGAGAAGCTTTGTTTGTTTCTTTTACTTTTCTTGTTTGAACCGTGGCCATAATGCTCTTACTTTTATTCGAGAGCCAAGAGGTTCCAAGAGAACAAACAGTTTTCATGGCGAAAGGAATGCGAACCTGATGCCTAAAGCTTAAAGAAGGTGGAAGACCACTGAGAAAAAAAGAGACGAACCCACTTACAGTTACCATTCCACGAACGCAAAAAAAAAAAAATAAAAAATGGCGGAAGCTCAGCTGCTCACAAACTTATGGAATATCGACAATGGGTTTCCAGTCTCGGGCTGTGTCCAATTTATGATGCGAGATCTAATTGACTGTGTAACGTGGCTAGCAAAAGAAAAGATAAAATAAATGAAAAAATGAGAGTAGGTAAAGGAAAAGCTGTTGGAATTTAAAGAGTTGAAGAGAGGGACTCAACTTGAAAGAGAAAAAATTATTGTTCACTCAAACTGCAATTCACAAATGCATAATGTCTGTTTGGATTGTCTCATTAATCGATTTTTGGTAGAAAAGTTATCCAAACACCCATTTTATAGGTTAATCAATTTTTGGGTCAAAAATGAATTTTCTTTAGAAGCTGAGAAACCGAGTGTTTTAGAGAAAATCTAACCAAAAACGTTGGGGCAAATTATAAAAAAAGGCTCAAGAAAAAATTATAAAGAAAGAACATAATTTAATCAAAATAAACCAAACTCTTTTCTCTTTTTTTCTTCTTAATAAAATTCAAACTTTGTATTCTCAAAAAATTGATGTTTGATATTTAAAAATTAAATTATATAATAATTTATATAACTAAAATTGGTTCTGATTAAGTTATTCAAATATTTTCAATTTTGTTAAAATTAATTTTAAAAAAATAATATCTAAACAGATTATGTTATAATATAATTAATTATAATTAAAATTTATTATTTAATTAATTATTTTTATAATTTATTATATTTAATTAAAATTCAAACGGGCACATAGATAATCAGACCCGCGGTCCAGTTCTGTTCTCAATACTTGGGATTCAGGTGTAAATGTTGAACTTCTTTCTGGGTCTTTCTGGATCAGACACCAAAACACCGCCGTTTTAAACACGGATCAAAATTTCCCAACAGGCCAGGAATGTCAGAAAAATATTGGGCCGACCGTGGCCCAGAAAGGGTGGATCTAGAGATTTTTGCTGAAGCGTGAATAGCATTACCCAAAGTCGTCAATCCCAATTTGATGGTTGCTTGCTTGGCAAGCCAGCAATGTGGCAGTTCTCGTAAGAACCAAAACTCCTGTGCGTAAGAGAGAGATTCTGCTCCTCCATTTCCGATCCTATCACTTTCAGCTACTGCTATGGAGTTCGAATATAGTGGCTCCTTATCTAACAGCTAAGACGCCCTTACCCCTTTGGTTTCGCCGCGTCTCTCTTCCTCTAATTTCTGCTCGTTCACTCTGAAATATGCTCGTCTCTCATTTCAGGAGCTGATTCCCTTTTATTATTATTTTATCTTAATTCTTTCCTTTTTGCCATCTTATGGACAGAATGGCGTGATTCCCAACTTAGTGGATGGTGACACAAAACATTCTACTTTTCTCTCTACTTATAGGCGGGGCTATCTCTCCAACTCACGCTTCAATCCTCAATTCACCCTTGTCCGTTTCTGCTCTTTATGTGTTCTTGATTTTCCTTGTTTCATGAGCTCCAGTGTTGCTTTTGGGATGCTACTTTTTCTACTACACTAGAAAGTATGACTTCAAAGTTGCTTTTGAGTTTGGTTGCTGTGCATTATCGATCCTTATGAATTTGCGTTTTGCCTGGGACGAAGAATTTGGTGCTTCTATTGGCATCAAGAACCTGAAGTGGCTTCCTATCTTTCTCTCTGTTAAAGGATGACGCTATCATCGAGTCTCAAGAACATTAGCAAATCACAGTCTCATGTTTTTCATTTCTTATGCTTTGATTGTTATCTCAACAATTCATATGGTCTCAACTTTCATTGTCAGCCTTGAAACCGCCTAGTTAATAAATTGACCATTGATGCAGGTTGCCACATTAAAGCTGAATTCGTTCACCCACTGTTTCTAATCTTTGAGCTGCTATGGGTTACCTAAATAATGTGAGCCAAAGATTCCTATTCTATCAAGCTTTTGGGAAACATTTTTCATATTTCTTTGTTTAACTTTATCTTTTGGTTGATGGGCAGGAGTTTGATCAAACTAATCAACAAAATGATCATGGTATGTGTTCTTCCCATATTTCACATGCATATAGATTCACAGTGTCATCATATAGTCTTTTGCTGACTAAGAATTGAAACTCCCATGACGTGCACATTGTAGTGATAGCTGGTATTATAATCAATACTAGTAAAAGTTATATTCATAACTGAATTTTCGGTGGCTGTCATTGTGTCAGCTTAACGGTTGTATGTAACATGTTAATTTGAATGCTCAGGTGAGGGTATTTTGACTTTACTGAATGTTTCCTTGACATGTATGACCAGGTGCACTGATACGAAATGGAAAGGAAATTCTTTTTCAGGTAAACTAAAAACTTGGGACTCTGCTTGTGTTCTTAGTTGCCTCCCTGTAACTTACAAGTTTTGAAGACAATGTTCTCGGTTTAGTTATCGCATTATTATGTTGCCTTTTTTGGCTACACTTTTCAAAAGTATATGTTGTTTGTTTCTCTAACTTTGGGCAATATTTAGTTGGAAAGCTATGCTGATCTGGTTAGTTCCATGTTATATGCTGCATCTTGGTTTTTTACTATGAAAACCAACCAATAGTGTAAAGTGTAAGTTAGTTAGTAGCCGTTGGGTTTGTTAGGGGCTGATAGCCTATAAAAGAGAGGTTGTATGGAAAAAGTCAGACTTGTGAGAATTTTAGTTTTGAGTCTTGTTTCCCAGTTTCTCTCTGTCTCTTGTCTTCTTCTTCCCCCACCCCTTCCTTCTCTGACTACCACCTACATTATGCACATAGCAGAATTGACACACTCCTTAAAAAAAAAAAAATGCTTTGCAGGCATTCAACTGGGAGTCTCACAAATATGATTGGTGGAGAAATTTAGAAAGAAAAGTTCCCGACATAGCAAAAACTGGATTTACTTCAGCATGGTTGCCACCACCAACACATTCCTTCTCTCCTCAAGGTTAGAAGCAGTCATAATAAAATTATATGTTTGTCAAATAATATTTTATCTTCTCCAATGACCTTGATGAGAACAATGAGATCAAACTTGTCATTCACTTTTGGTTTATAGGTTACGCTCCACAAAACCTTTACTCTCTCAACAGTTCATATGGTTCTGAGCATCAGTTACAAGCTTTGCTTCATAAGATGAAGCAGTGCAAGGTACGAGCAATGGCTGACATAGTTATCAATCATCGTGTTGGCACAACCCAAGGACATGGAGGGATGTATAATCGTTATGATGGAATTCCATTATCATGGGATGAACGTGCTGTGACATCAGATACTGGTGGTTTGGTAAGATAACTTTAAATAATTAGCTTATTTTCATTGATTCCACTTGGAAACCAACGAGTTCTCTTATATGTGTGTTTTTTATTTAAGGGTAATCGAAGCACAGGGGCCATTTTCCATGGGTTTCCAAATATTGATCATACCCAAGATTTTGTGAGAAAGGACATCATTGGATGGCTCCAATGGCTACGCAACAAAGGATTTCAGGATTTTCGTTTTGATTTTGCAAGAGGGTAATAATTCTCATCCCTTTGGAATTTAGTTTGCTTTTTACTTTGTGGTTTTCCTTATTCTGTTCGTTGATTAACCTCTCTAATTCTCCTATTTTTTCAGTTATGCCCCAAAATTTCTGAAAGAGTATATTGCAAAAACAAAGCCAGCATTCACTGTTGGGGAATACTGGGATTCTTGCAACTATCATGGTTGTGTTTTGGACTATAACCAAGGTACCACACTTTAGTGTATGTTGTTAATTGGCAAACATATTAATGCATCGTGGATAAAGATAAATTTGTGTTCTCTGAAGTCTTATTTATTGAAGATGTGAAGGAAAAAGAACGTCCTTGGGATTTTTTTTTGGAATTTTCAGTTCACAAACGCTGTCTTTTGATTGGACTTTTGTGTTAGTTCTTAAAATATATGGAAAGTTCGTGTAAAATTGGAAATATCCAAGAGAGATTGAAGCATCGTTACTTAATTTGATTTTCTTTTTTTCACTTTAAAGTCCTGACGAAATTATTGCAGCGTGAAGAGAGTATGTACGGTTAAACAAAAAAATAAGCTACAACTTTCTGTTATAACCAAGAGTTTAAGGTATTGTTAACCAATGGCTGTGGGATATCTTTTCTTCAATTTTTGAATTTTTACTCAACTACGGCGAAACTTCCATTTATTGAAGAAGTATTAAGAGCAGAAAAGGAGCTGAAAGAAGTTTAGTGGTGGTGAGGTTCTCCACAAGAACCAAACTGCTAACCTCATCAGAGTTGTTTTACCTGATTTTGGTTTCTTTGCTGAGTTATTGACAGGTGAACCTGTTAGCCTGTTTCTGAGTCCTTCTTCGTATTGACAATGATATGAATTATTCTTTCTGAGTGGTGGATGAATTTATACCCAGTTGTTAAAGTTTGTTATCTCTGTTGGAACTACATGGTCCCAACACTTGGCCTTTTGCTTACTTATTTTTCATCCTCTTATAATAGATCAAAGTATACTATTTTCACGTGCTTGTTCACCTGCAGACAGCCATAGGCAACGGATAATCAATTGGATTGATGGCACAGGTCAGCTTTCAACTGCATTTGACTTCACAACAAAAGGGATTCTCCAGGTATTTTCCAACATTTTTTAGTTCATAAATTAAATTAACTTAGCGCAACGTTTTACATTCTCTTTTGATTGAGGGTGGAGTGGTAAAAGAATCAGCTCCTTGCATATGAGCACATAACAGTTACATTATTTGTTTTTCTTTGATTTTCATTGGATTTTATGATGTCAACAAGCTCTTGTGTCTATGGAGGTATAATGGCAAATGGAGTGTCAAGGATTAAATTTCTTACAATAGGATATTTTCCCATGTAAACTGAGGTGCTTTGTTGTAGGAAGCTGTCAAGGGAGATTTTTGGCGTTTAAAGGATCCTCAAGGAAAGCCACCGGGGGTGATGGGATGGTGGCCATCAAGGGCAGTGACATTTCTAGATAACCATGACACAGGTTCTACCCAGGTACTGAATTTATTATTACTAAAATGATGCATTGAGATGCTTCAGAGACAATATCGAAGAGGTAATTTTTCTTTTTTCTGGAGCACATGTCGCATTTAACTAAATATACTTGCTATATATATATATATATATTTTTTGCATTTCTGATTTTGGCAAGAATTCTAGCATCAACATGCAAGGTGTTTTTTCCCTTCTGACAAGGATGCTTGTTGCATTATATTATTTACTCAAGCTACTGTCTCACTCACTGCAGGCTCATTGGCCCTTTCCTTCAAATCATATCATGGAGGTACTTTTTTTTTTTTTTTTTTTGGTGGGTCAACATAATGATTGCTTATAAAAATAATGCTTTACTGCCCAGAGTTTCTTCCATTATGCTTCTTGCAATAGCGTTGCTTGATTCTGTTGTCAGTTGAAGTTCGTACTCTCCTAATCTCCTTAGTATGTTCCCAAAGTTTACTCAATTGCGTATATGATGACTTATTGGCAGGGTTATGCTTACATATTGACTCATCCTGGGATACCAACAGTTTTCTATGATCACTTTTTTGATCGGGCAAACTCCATTCATGATCAGATTGTGAAGTTGGTAAGTAACTTAGTAATACACAACTATCAAATTGGACATTCTACCAAGATGCCCCTCAGTATAACTAATTCACATATGGGTGGCAGATTGATATCCGCAAGCGTCAAGGTATTCACAGTAGATCACCTGTGAGGATTGTGGATGCTAAGCAAAATCTGTACGCAGCATTCATTGAGGAGAAAGTGTGCATGAAGATTGGAGACGCTTCTTGGTGCCCTTCTGGGAGGGAATGGACACTTGCAGCTTCTGGCCACAGATATGCAGTATGGCACAAATATTAAATCATTGCCCTTTTTATTATTATTTCAGCTTTTCATTTGCTATAACTGGGGATACACCCTCAGGACCCTGTAGGTCGTGGACTCATTCCATGTGACAAATAATAATGATAATTATTTTGGGAGCCCTCCCCCCCCCCCCCGGGGAAAAAAAGTGAAAATAAAATTGCTACTATGCCACCTCAGCTTATGAAAATTCATTAGATCAGCATTCGACCGCACCAAAGCTATTATTTTCTACTGATTGAAACCAAGTATAGGTCTACAGAATATAAATGAGACACTGTTCATGGTTATCCAACTTTAACAAATGAAATAAAAAATTGACAATGACGACGACAGTTCTAGAAAATGTGGGGCAGAAATTGGGGGTGAAGATATTTTTCAAGGAAAATCTGATTTTCCTTGGGCTTAGATGAAGAAATGATTTCGGACGGAAAATTTGGGTTCCAAGAATTTAACATTCCAACCAAATCAAGGAAAATGAGCTTTTTCACTCACTTTCCTCTTCGTTAGCCTAATTCATGTGAACCAAATGAGGCCTTGATTAAAAAAATGTAACAAAGTTTCATTCTCTCCATTGAGATTATATAAAATGCAATACATATACATCCGCGAACCTAATCAATGACAACATGAAAGAGGTCAAGAGCTATAAAACGGAACAAAGCAAATGAGAGAATTGGCACTGCCCACTAACATCGCTGCTACAATGCGTGAGCATTACTACCGAGAGGAAGCAGTAATGTAAAAGGAGAAATTAAAATCACTCTCTAAGCCGCATCACAAGTAATTACGAGACCGGCCACAAAACCACCACCTTAAAAGCCAACAGCAAAATTTATGTGCGGCAACCCCAAGTATGATGTGCCGATAAAAATCCAACAGATAAGTGGATTTGAAGATGCAAAAGCAGCAGGTACATCATAAGTCTAAAACAAACCCATCTTCTTTTTCTGCATGTCTTGTTTCCATTTTGGCATTTGATAAAATGCTTCTTTTGTCATTCCAAATACAGATAGGAAATCATCATCTGACAGATAGGCCTGAGCAATACCACAAGTGGAGACAAAGTTAATATATTCATAAATTCCAAGCACAAAGTTAAATCAACAATATGCAAAGCAAGGCTAACCTCTCTCCGTTTAAAGTCAATTCCAGACACGGGAGTATCAGAAAGAGTCTTTAATTGATCATAACTGTATGTCACACGACTACTTGGACTCACAACATCATCGTCCAAATTTTCTTGCTTTGGTTCCGAATCCCCATCACCGCCAGTTTCATGTGCAAGTTCCTCTGTCTCCTCGGCATCTTCGACTTCTTCAAGGCGTCCTGTTTCAGCTCGGGCACTTTCACCCTTACCTTCTGCCGAAATTATTCACACTCGTCAAATGGATCAGCTTATGATTCTTTGAACAAATAAAAATCAAGCATGTGGACAGCAAGGAAGTTTGCAGTTCCCTTCTAAATATTTCCAATTAGTCTTCAAAAGCAAAATTAGGACGTGACTTTGAAGATCCCTCCAGGGAAAGAGAAAGCCAAAGCCTCCTCATGTATAAATTTGGTACATGCTGTTTTTTGTCTGACATCTCAATAAGCCAGGATTGCAAATTCTTCTTAAATAAAAGAAAGGGTTCCCTGATAGCTTTGCTAGTAATAAATGTGCTCAAATCTATGATCCTAACAAACATGCAACTGGTCAAACTACTACACATTCTCTCATATTGACCAGTCAATAAAGGTGAGAAGAGCATGTATTTAATGACCAAAAAGGAAATTGTGTAAAATTTTCAAGAAAAAGGAACAAAGGGATCGATCAGGTTCTGCAAAATAAGAATGGAACTTTTTTCTTAAAAGAAATGTGTTTTGCAGCATTTTATGCAAAAAATAAGACAGAAGAACCGGCACAATATACTCGCGTGATGCAACATCTATCTTAAAATAATCAGAGATTTATTTTCTCACCAGGGTTGATGTTTCCTGCAAGAGGACTTCCAAGTGGTGTAGAATCAGGAGATTGCTTCACTTCAGCAGTCAGAACCGATGAAAGAGCAGCTACTGCAGCTGCTCTTTGTGATCCTTGACTTATTGCAGAATGTTTAGGGGCGACAGCTTTAGAACCTGATGATGAACTAAAAGCAGAATTTAAGGCCGCTAAAGCTTCTGCTCTTTGTCTTGGTCCTCCATGATTCAATTCATTCAACCTATCCTGTGACTAAAATATGAAGAAAGTGCCAAAAATTAGAAAGAGGCACTACAATATGCTTAATCGCGTTAAGAAACCATCCTCTTAACATGGGTGTCTGCTTGTTTCAGAAGTCATTCCTTATCATTAATTTTGTTATAACAAAAAGCTAGCAAATCATCTGTGAGAAAGTGAAAATACCGTAGCGGATGTTTTCTCGGAAGATGAATTGAAAGCAGAATTTAAGGCAGCTAAAGCCTCTGCTCTTTGTCTCGGACCAGATCCATCAGACTTTTCCTGTCACCAGAATCAACAAAGCCTTATCAATGAAATACAGGGAAAACATTACTATTGTAACGACACTTGCATGTATGATGCGTATCAAACACTGATGGGAATGCATCTGCATATGGTTATACAACTAATAATGACGAGAAAGAGATCAAATGATGAGATTATACAATGCCCTACTCTTTCGGAACCTGGCTGAGCTTGAAAGACGTTAAAACCACTCAAGTAAGAAAGGCATGGTAGATATTCTAGTATGAACCAAAAAATGTCATGACTTGATATACCATGCACCGCACTTTTATCTTTATCGCATTATTGAAGAAAAATATTGCCGAAGAATTATTTTCAGCATCATCAAGAGAAAACATTTCATCGAAACCCGTTTTGAGAAAAAAGAAAGGGAAGGGGGGAAAACAGAGCATTGTTTCTAAATTGTATATACCCTCATTCGTTTTTGAACCCATTTTGAAAGTATAATGTCGGTCCTTGATATACCATGTACCTCACTTTTCTCGTTATCGCAAAAGAAATGAATTATTTTAACATCATCAAGAGAAACATTTCATCAACACCCGTCCTGAGAAGAAAAGAAAAACAGAAAAAACAGAGCAGTGCTTCTGTATTGTTACGGAAATTTTTATCCTTCTTTCAACCAATTTTGAAAAAAATAATAGTCTCTAGAGTTGACACTGAATATTTCAAATTTTGAAGTAGAAAGATGGCGAAGGTTGATAATCATCTCACAAATTACCCTATAGAATTATGTGGAATGTTATGTTCTATAGCCGAATACACGATGCTTGGCGAGCGAGAAGGAATCCCATGTTTCTCTACAAAAGCACTTTTTCCATATAGGATTGAAGGAGATAAAGAAGCATGAAGTGAAGAAGAATTCCCATATTTTGGATCTTAGCAATCATGAAAACTGCTCTTAATTAAAGATCAGTTTCAAGTATTGGTTTTAATGTAAACAAGTGTAATTGAAAAACTTAGTTACTTTGCACGATTGGTTACAACAGTGTCTTGTTGGAAATTAAAATTGAAGCCCTTACCTCCACAGCATGGCCAACCCCATATAGTAAGGTCACCTTTTTCTGGAACGAGTTTCCTTGAACCTGCATTTTATCAGCAAGTGCCCCTTTATAAACACATATATTTGCATAAGCCTTGTCTTGTGTAGATTTTATTCTTTAAAATCACACAATCATTCAAACTCATTTTTCAAAATCACAACTTCACCTGGTATAGTTTCAAATGTATTAAAATTAGCACCAAGAAACCCTAGTTCATAGATGCAAACAGTTGCTATAAACCTGTCTGTGTTCTGATCCTCCCTATGTTTTAACTTTCAAGTTCAAAATGTTGATGAAAAAATGAGACATAGAGATTCAAATGATAGCTGGAATAAGATTCATCTTCCACCCAGTTGAACTCTAGCAATATCGAGATCTGGTTTGGGCTAAATCTGATAATATTTGTCTTCATCATAGGTTCTTTAACATTAAGAATTTAAACATAGGTGGTTGTGAAATATTTCTGTGTCTATGGTTAACGAGATTTTTCAGCAAGGAGCACCTCTTGGAATGATCAAATTCACCTGGATGCTAAAGACTAAACTTACTCGTTCATCTCTGCAGTAGCCAGTTAAACAATATGTAAAACAGCGCTAAATGAAATATCTGTATGCTATGTCAGTCTAATTTTCAGCTACTTTCTAGCCAACCCGAGCCAGCATTCAAGGAGGCCAAGCAATGCCATGGCTGCTAGGGACCTAGCTTGGTTGTGTGGTAGGCAACAAATAGATGAACCCCCTTTTTAATGACAAGTGACAATATCCCAAGGGCTTTTGCTAATATGGATAGGAAGAATTATTTCAGTTGACCAAGAGGGACATCCAGCAAACTGGGTTTACAGTTGAAGATGATAAAAAGAGTGAAAACAATGAATAAAATAATACGATGTCAAACAACAACAACTGAAAAAAAAAAAAAAACGGAAAACCCTGATGGTTAATACACATACAGTGGCTTTCACATGATCCCATGAAAAGTATGCTGTGAAGAAGCAAGGTTCGTTCCCTTCTGTAACCTTATACAGTGGCACCTGAGGAGACAGTCCCTCCAAAGATGCAGCCAAATCTATGTATTTCTGGTGGGAAAAAGTTACGAAATTAATGAAGTATATCACGCAGGTAAGAAAATGGGAAACAACATCCTAAACATGATTGACATGTTTACCTGGCCAATTTCAAAAGCATTTTGCCTCTCTCTTGAGCTTACAGACTGACCAACCCAGACAAACACTTCTCCATGTGTATCAAAGATGAGCATATCCTCAGTTAACAGATCATCTTGGGAGAAGTTGTAAACCTCCTCAACCTGAAGAGGAAAATATAAAAACCCATTTAAAGCCGTAGAAAGACCAAATTACAAATAACAGGTTTCTCAGCTCTAAGGGGAAAATTGACATAATGAAGTTGCAGACACCGACTCACCTGAAACTTCCCTGGTGAATCCACATTGCGAAAGAATTACCAAAATCAAGAATGGTTAGAACAAGGAAACTGCTCCATTACCAAAGCTAGCGCGCTAACATTTTAAATAGAGAAGTGAAAAGCAAGAATGCTACCTTTATTAAACGAGAAAGTGAACAAATGTGGATCTCTGACAGTATCATTAGCGACATTTTTGCTGACGTAATTTTGTTTTCCTCCTAGTGCAGACCAGAAAGCCGAGCTTTCTGTTCCTTCTTTAGCATGTTTTAAAGTAACTCCTGGCTGAAAATGACCATGTAACAGGTGATGTTGCTATTATTTAATCTTCATGATAAGTTAAAAATTGATTAAGTACAATAAGATAACAAAATCACGTTTTTGCTTAGTTGTAATAAATGCAAAAGGAACACAAAGCTATCGGGTCAAGTAAGTGCGTTTGACTTGAAGCAATAGGTGCAACAAAAGTACCTAGTCTAAGATTAAGAGTCAAAATCTCTTCCTAAAATGGTCTATCATTACAAGACATTAAAGTAAACGCATACTCAGGTTTAAATTATCAGTGGCTGAGACAACTAACTCATGCACTAACTTCTTACCATACTGCTGGAAGAATTTAGTTCGTTTTTAGATGAAACTAGCTGATGTTCCAAAGCATTTTGGTAAGCAGAATTTACCTTCAAAAATTCTGCAACATTTGCTGCTACCTGCTGCTGCTCAAAAGGAGATTGACTTCCATGCCAAAGGTAAATTGTTGAGCCAGATTGCAGGAGGAAACACTCAGTAGAATTTAGTGATGTTGCCACCTGAACAAGAACGGTATACATGATATGATGCAAGTACAGATGACTGGTACACACAAATTTTCCCAAGGAAAAAATGAAGCATTCAATGGGAGCATACTGCATCAACTTGCACTGCTTTATTGTTATAACTGGAAGGTCCAGAAACTTGAAGGAGTGCAATACACTCTGCTGTATATGTCTCATCTTCCAAACCTTTGTCAGCTATTAATTGTTTGTAAGAAGAGCTCAAAGCTCCCTAAAATATAGACAATTCATTTAAAATGGTCAGCCTCTCATGATTAGACTTATATGCTTTGTCAAAAAACACTTTCAGAGTAATGACATGGTACCTTAAGGACCACCATAGGCTGAAAAAGAGCAACAAATTGCGGTGGCTCTTTACCTTCAAATAAGCGACCCTGCAAGAAGCTAATTCAATTGTAGACAATTCACAAACACATTCCAAACTTCAAAATGTGATAACGATACCTGAACAGGTCTACCCTTCAGTGAATTGAACATTGTGTTGGCCAACTGAGTTGCCCTCCTTTGATCTTCCTAAATGCAAATTATGATCAAGCTAATTTGTATGTAGCCGTAAATCCATCAATATTTCAGCAATGAAAGCCATTAGAAAAAGAAGTTTTAAAAATCTGAATATCATTTCATGCCCTTTAATATTGTTTCATCTCAATTCACAGATGCAGTAAGAGATCGCTTCATCTTTCACACACATAAGTACTATACAAGAAAAGACAGTTGGAAAAAGGGAAAGACTTTAAAAACACTTATAGATGTTATTCCATAGCAAAGCTCGATTAAACAGTTTATTGATCATGGGAAGAAAACTTCTTGCGAAATAGTCACAAATGGGTAGCCTCACAGTGGAAAAGGTTTTTATGTGCCTTACAATCTGAGATGATCATTTATGGTTGGATTGCTGTGTAAAACATTAGATATGTGGAACAAATAGTCTGTGTAAACATGAAGCAAGAGTGAAATATTTGATGAATTAAAAGAGTTAGTGTAATTATCCATGAAAAAAATATTCCTTTAAATCTACATAAGTTATTCAAGATCACAAGATTTAAGGCGGTCATCTAAGTTTGAAAAGTGAGGTTTGCTAAGTAATGTCACATCTTTAGGGAAAAGACCAAGTGATACTTTTTCATGAATTGAAAGGTAATACATAATCAATTAGGGTTATAACTAATAAATATTAAATCAAATAAAAGATAACTTTTAGATCATAAAAACTGAGTCAACCTAACTAAACTAAAATTATTTTTTGTGCATTAATACAGGGCAATGTTTGATCACTTCAGTCCAGTATCTATTGCTTCCAGTAAACAAAACCAATAGACATTATTGTCTATCCCTTGAATGATTGAATCAACATTTGAAATATCAGCATATCCCTTATAACGTTGCTTTTACAGCCAACCAAAGCTTCATAAAACAGTAAAATATTTGCTGAAGCACGGTTGTTTTCAGTCAATTTTAAAAATACCTTGATTACAAGTGCTAACACTATTAAGTGAACGTCACAAAATATTACATGTTCCATTCTATATTTGAACTCAAATCGGAATGATAGAAATTACCTCAACGCTATCTTTCCCAAACCAACAGCATAAAAAGTAGTCATCCTTCCTCTCACCAGCGTGGTAACTATACAGTACTATGTAGCAATCCCCACTATAAAATTTACCTATATCCTCCTTAGGTAATGGATTCTTATTAGCTCCATCAATCCACCATACCTGAAAGAGTAAAATAATATTCAATTTTGCCAGACACCAATTAAAAATAATAGAAATATATACATATATCCACTCACACACATCTATATATGCATAAACTGGCCTCCATCTTTTGGCCCCAAAAAAAAAAAAAAATTACCTCCATCTTTCCACCACCTTCAAGTAGATGAGGCATTTCCTCATTCACTGCTGTGTTTTTTGTCATTCCCTTGATGCCCATACCTTGCTGCTTCAGTAAAGCTAGTAGTAAACAAAATACAATACTTAGCATGCCTAGTGAGACACAATGGCACGAGTAATGTTTCAAGTGGGAAGAAGTGATATTTACCCGCGACTTTTCCTCTTCCTTCCTCAGCACCAGTAGTAGCAGCTCCTGTTGGCCAAGAATCAAAGTTGGATTTAAACGAGTGTGTCTCAAAACCTTGAATTACTCTGGTTATCTTTGTAGATTTTGGCCTATTGTGACTCGCAACAAACTCCTGCAGCCAATAGAAAAGATAAGAAATCCATGTTCAGCTGATATATGAAGAGTTAGATGCTATAATGTTAATACCTCAACTGCTTGACAGGCTGATTTTCTTTCTTCAACTTGTGTTACCCGGCCAACCCAAAGAAATACCTCAGCCCCACAGTCCAGTATATAGCAGTTGTTGTTCTCCAATAGTGATTTAGACAATTCGCCTTCTACAGGCTTGACCTCACCATCAACAATGCTACAAGGATATTTCATACAATTTTTTATTACCAACCAACTATTTTCATATTTTAAAAATGGTATCAACTTCCACCTATGGTCCTATTGGAACAGATCTTTGAGGGAATTGGGGAAGGGATGAGAAGGAACATACTTGTAAAGTTGAGCTGAAGTGGCCTCTGGAATGATATCATCCTCACAGACGACCTTCTTTCCAATGGGAGCAAAACCACCAAAGAGGACCCAAAATTCACCTGAATCTGACTCAGTGTCCAACCTGCCATCATCTGCAATGTGGAATAGATTTTACACACAGTTAGAAACAAAGAAATGCTTACGTCCGCAGAATAGAAATATCAAATTATTTAAATTCTGCAAAAAATATGCCCTCACCAACAATTGCAACGTCACATTTCCCTTCATGATAATTTTCCTTCAGAAACTGAATTACTTCCAAAGCCTTAGCTCTTTCTTGAATATTGGAATTTGCACCATTGAACTGATAAATTTTACTCTCAGTGTCTAGGATAAAAACATCATCATGATTCAGCGATGACCGTGCAAAAGGTACCTGCACAAGTAAAATGCTAAGTTTCATGTTCATTCAATGAATGTTCACTGGGTCCAAGAAGTTCATTTCTAGGGAAGAATATGCCTGTTTCATCCTAACAACTCGCTTTCCCTTGCATATGTACAATCGTGTTTCAAACTCTTCTTGTTCAGGTTTTCTAAATCCAGATGCAACACCCCCCTCTAATGGTATCATGCATGGTCTGAAGTATGACAAGAACTTGTCAGATTCATGGCCCTGGAGTTCCCTGTGCTGCACTGCACGTCCTCCAAGAGCAGCATCAAGTTCAACAGTTTTGATGGCTGCTGTTCCAGCCTCATCCTACAAGGAAAAATTATTATCAAGAAAGAATATTCTTTTGTAAGAAATATCAGTGCAGGTAATTCAAACCATGCAGGTGAATCATGTATCTCAGACTATCTCAAAAGAACTTTACTCAGCTCACCTAACATTTTTACTTAGGCTCACCTGACTTGTGTCCTTTCCAATCCAGAAGTGTATATCATAAAAGTAAGTACCTCCTTTTGCTTGTGTTGTCTGAAAATAAGCATATAAGAGAGCCTAAATAAGAAGGGGAAAAAACTGAAGATATAAATCAACCATGCCAAAAGGTTAGTAATTGTATTAGAGGCTTTCCTTAGATATTTATATCATGTAAGTTGTACCATTCCACCTTCTCTATCTATTTAGTTTGTGTATGATAATTACCATGACACTGTGGATCAAATCTCTAAGAGAACCAAAGAAGCAATTTAGGTATACTGCGCACATTATAAATAGAAGAAGATCATGAACCATCTATAGAACATTCAACATCTAGTCACACAACATGGTGATTAAGGATACTAAATAAGGCCACAATCAATACATCAATGATATCTATAGTTCATACCTGCAATATGAGATCTGAATCACGCATGTAGAACATTCAACATATAGTTCAACATATAGTAAACAAGAACATTCAACATATAGTTCATACCTGCAATATGACATATGAATCACCCATGTAGAATTTCCCATGTTCAGATTTGGGCAAAGGAACTGGCTGAAAATTCTCAATTCTCCATATTTCAATTCCTCTTCAAGAAGTTAAGTCCGAAACCACTCAATGTGAACTCAATATACAAGATAATCAGGAAAAATGATATATTTTTTTTCATTTTTCACTCCTAATTTATTTAAGAATTAAAGAAGAAATTATATAACAATTTACTTTCAAATGAACTCGATGTATCAAGGATACGATTTTAGACCCACTCCCTGGAAGGCAGGATCTAAAACTTTTGTTGAGCTAGACATTGCTGAAATTCTTTCTTAAATGCTCTCTTCACCAGAAAGCACGCAGTGAATGCAAATTCCTGAGTAGTTCGCTGCATAAAAAAATATTAGATATTAATGGAAATAATGAAGAATATGTGAGCATGAGAAAAACATGTATCAGTTTTTAGAGCAACTGCATATTCTATGACACCACAGTATCACACATGCTACTGCAATGATTAAAAATATTTGGGGAGATCAACAGCAATGACAAGTGTTTATTTCTCTAAACCATTTTTTGCTACATCTTTAGTAGATACCGAGGTAGTATGAGATGCATAATACCATATTGAGTGGTATAGGTTGCTCTATGGGAAACTTAATTGGATTAGTTCTTCCCCCTCGATATCTGACTTGAGGGGAAGGTTTTTGTTCTTACTTGGGTACTTATCAGCCTTCAAGGCCATGTTAAAATATTTAGAACACTAGCCAGGCCCAATGGCTTTTGAGTATCAATGTGATATTGCTGCCCATCACAAATAACTTAATTGCTCCATGGAAGTAAACTTCCCCACATCTACAATATTGCTACAATAAGCATACCAATGGGCACCCGTTACATACAAACAGTTGATCTATAAATTTGGAAAATGAATAAATCAGGGACCTCCGAAGTAGTTTTATTCATTACAGTTGGCGGAGGCTTTCTGTTCAAACTAATATGTTCTCCTAACAACAGAAAAGAAAGTCTACAAACACTTCCCAATTTTCATATTCCAAGTTAGTGAACTATTGTAGGGAATGTATTATCTTTTAAAGAAACTATGATATAAAAAGTGGACAGGGAAACCCAAGCTCGAGGCATATGTGAGAGCAGAGGATAGGCAGATTCATAGTGAGGACTAGAATCTTGCCTGTCTAGTGATTGAGTAATCTTTCTATTTTCTTCAACTATGATACTCTATCACACTAGTAGATAACCCCTATTTGCTTTTATCAAATCAATAAATAGCCTATTCTTCACAAATAGATGGACTATTTCAGTTATTTACTTGAATACTTATGTGGTTCACATCAGATGACTAATTGGCCTTGATAATATGTAACAGATCCAACAACTTCTACCCTTGTTTCTCAGAAAAGATGTTAAATTTATTGATCCCCATCAAGCTTGGGTTGTAAATGACATTCGTATAAGCTGACCTACAAAATTGCCATCATATATTTGCAGAAACATATGCGGAGTAGATTTAGCATTACAAATTATGCAAAACAGAAAAGAGCCATTGAAGGGGACCTGAAATCAGAAAGAAATTGATCTATTTATCAAGAACGTAAAATATTTATTGATAAGACTTGATCTGCTAATATAATCCTTCAAGGAAACTTGAATAGATACATTTGCAATGAAGCATGCTCGATTTAGAAGAAGCGTGCAATAAGATTTTTCCTCTCTTAGAGACTATATTGACTTATTTATGGAGCTTGAGTAGATAGCTTCTGCGCTTGTCATTCTACCTGGTACTTTGAAATGTCCTGTTTCATTAGTCAAATCCCAAAGTGTTGTTCAAGTGGTAAGAAAAGGAAATCTCTTTGTGTAGTCTTCTTCAAATAAGCTTAGTTATGGATGACATGTGCGGGCCCAACATCCGTGTTAAGGCAGTTATAAAGTTAGAATATTTCCCTAATACTATTTCATCAGACTTAAGAAACCCTTGGTTTCCTTTAAAATTTCCAAAACCTTTCACTTAAATCTTCGATCATCAACAAGCTTGCTTTATGTCCATTCTCAACTTCCACTACTGAAACAAATATCAATATGATTTCTGATATTACCTATCTAGTACCAAAACAAAAAAGACGTTGGCTGTTTTTTTTTCTTATTACATTTAAATTTGTGAACAAATGAGAACTGTTTGATTGTGGAACTACTTGTTTGTAGTTTTTAAAATGGGAATACATTGTAACCCTGAATTGAAGTCCAATTACAACTTTATTAATTTCTTTTCTCGCACGAAAAGCCATTAGCCAACATGGCAAATGATAGAACGTCAGGGAATTTCAAGTCATGATAAATGCATGCAGGCGTGAGGCCACCCAACAAATTAAGAGAGTGAAAAAAAAAAACAGATAGTCCAGGAGAAAAGAGGCACCAGTACTAAATCATAGGGATAACTAACGACCAGAAGATAAGCGGCAACTACGAAATTCCATTTAAGTTATCACAATATCGTCCAGATTCAGATCAAAAAATACAATGCTGGTCACACAATGATCAGAATATTGAATCAGAAAAGAAAAGGTGCAGTAAGAGATGATGATCGAATTTCTGCAGTATTGGAAATCGGCGGAAAAGATATGAGTAACGTGGATAAGGATACACTGGAGGGAGAGGAATTGACGTGCCTGCGATCTCTGGGCGTGATGATGAGTGGAGAGCTAAGAGGCCGAAGATGAAGATAGAGAGGAACATACATGAAAAGAGAGGTGCATTATTGCCATGCCTGCAGTGACTTGGTTCTCTCTAACTTTTCAGGCTTTTGAGATTTGTAATTGAGAAAGAAAGAGAGAGGATACAAAAAATGAAAAAAGAGGGGGCATGGATGAATTATGAAACGAAAGGTTAGGGAAAGGAGAAAGGAAGAACGCAAAGAGAAGGCACCGTTAAGAGGAGAGAGGATTTTGGCGAGAAAAAGTCGTTGTTTAAAGACAAACGATCCGCTCACCTTGGCACCGGGCATGTTGCCTCTATATTGCCTTTTGCTTAGACGGACACGAAATTTGTCTTGTCTTTTTCTCTTCCTCCTGTTTTTTCCCGTCAAATAATGTTATTTCTTTTTTCTTTTTTGGGAACTGAAAAACATTTAGTCGCCGTTATGAAGGTGCATGAAAGAAATTCAAGGGAAGAGTTATTGACTATTGATGATTGGGCACAAGAAATTAAATGTCAATATATTGTCTTATTTAGGAAAAGTCTCACTCAGAGACTTCTGAAGCCTGTTATTAGTGAAAGATCGTATGATTCTGAATTCTTTCCCCACACCAAAGACATCTAAATGAAAACAAGATTTAAGAGGGAAAAAAAGAAAGAAAGAAAGAAATAACACAGACAAGAGGAAATGAAACAAGCCTCTGGATGGAAGAACTTGGTACTTGTTGATTACTTATGCTTACTCATTAAAATGTAATCTATGCTTGTTGCAACAAGACAAACACTTGTGAAAAATTATAGAGTTAAGAATTATTTTTGCCATTGAATTTTCCTTGAAGGGTCAGTGATCACCATAAATTTAAATAAGGGTTAATTCTGTCTATTAATGTTAAAAAATTTTCTTTCTTGTCACTCTATTATTTTTTTACTGTCTCTTCACTACTAGTGGGCACTACATTACATTGTTTAATATTTTTTATTATAAAACATTTGAGTTTGGGGTGCCCCATTGACTATTAGGGGTAAAGTTGATAGGAAAAAGTAACCCTTAACATGATATTTATAATAAAAATAGAAAAATGTAATGCGAGACTTACTAATTGTGAAGACATGGCAAGTTAATGTTAAGGGTGCTGAGGGTGATGATTTTTAAAGTTAAGGAATAAAATAGACCCTTATTTAAGTTTAGGGTACCCACTGACCCTTTAAGTAAAGTTTGAAGACAAAAATGACCCTTAACCTAAAATTAAACTATATGCCTATTAGATTTTTTTAACTTGTTCATCATCAAATTATTACTTGTTAATTTCCAGTGATTATTTATGAATATATGAATGTATACTAGTTGCAACAACACCAATACTTGTGAAACATTAAACCAAGCCTATCAGATTTCTTCACTTGTTCATTATTGAATTTCTGCCTGTTAACTACGCATGGTTACTTGTCAACATATGAATTCCCTTCACCCATATTTCCTTTCCTCTCAACAAGGCTATTGATAGAATTTATTTATTAATCATGGTGTTATTAGCTCAAAGTGCACATATATTGCATTGGAATTAAAAATTTGCCTCATTGTCTAGGTTTTGTATACTAATATTTTAGTTCAAACAAATGAACTATTGAGAAAATGTATAAGAAAAATTGACAAAGCGTATTTCAAATGCCAAAAAAAAAGCAATCAAATTAGTTTTTGCAAGTTCATTTTAATTTAGGAACAATTAAATAAAAATCAACATTTTTATTGACTTTTTCAAGTGTATTCATTTGACCTAGTTTTGGATTTATATTTTGTGTGTAAATTTTGGACAACTTTATGTACCTATTAGTTAGACATTTTTAGTAATTTTTCCCTTTTAAATATGAACATAATGCTGCATTTTGATTAGATTTTGTCATGTCACATTTTATCAAAATTGAATTATGTGTATTTTGTGAGAGAGGTGAAATGTGCACATGTGTATTAATTAGACAAGTGTGTCAAAACTTCAAGGAGAACATATTTGATTATATGTGGCACTTAATGCTATAATTGGTGGGAGTAGATCTAATTAAATTGTTGATGATGCATGGGATTAAGTTGACACACTTTGGAATCATCAACATGCTAATGAGTGTATGCTGCCTTACAAGCCTCTTTCGTGTGACTTGAATCTACTTGCATTTTTATTTTATTTTTTTATTTAATCAGTTGGAGAACTGAAACAAAGCAACATGCATGTCATTCTCATTAGAAAATCAAATCAAACTCATTCATTAAAGCAATCTCTTACATTCTCTCACTAGTTCTTCCATTATTCTTCACTTCTTCCAATTTAGCCACCTCCTCTTCTTCATAATTTCTCACAAAACTCATACCACTCTCTTCCCTTCATTGAGTTCTTTCATTCCCATCCATTTTTCTTAAGTTTCAAACTTCAAATCCTCATTTTAATAGCTAAAGAATTCAATTACCTCATGAAGATCAAGAAGACAATGGAGATAGAGATGTGAGATTAGGCCCCTTTAAGGAATCCTAGAGAGATAAAGATAAAGGGTGAAAATCATGAGCTTCATGACCAATCTTTTCTAAATTCCTAGCTCTTTTTTTTTAACTTGATGATTAAATACCTTAGTTGAGGATTTGATTATCATAGCTTTGCAATTATAATTTGAATTTATCTTTATGTAAAGAGAAGATGCCAATAATATTGAATTTTCTCTCATTTGTTCTTGGTTTGATTCAATCACTTAGTGGTTTATGCATAATATTGTGTTTATCATTTAGTGAATTTCTTATGCTGATTTCATATAATCTTGAAAGGATGCTTAGCACTTGAGTAGCTTTACATAACTGTTTATAATTTGTTCTTAGTTGTGACATATAAGGGAAAAATTTTAATTGTGACACTTGATCAACACTTGCACCAATTAGTGAAATGAAATAAGAACTTTAATCTAAGGCTTAGAGAATCGAACTAGTTAGATTAATTGGCTTGCGATAGTTTTCTTTAGGCTAATACAATTCAGTCAAGAGGGATGGAATAGAATTAATTAGCTTAATCATCAAGGAGATAAGGATTCCAACATCAACTAATTTCTAGGTTCCAACTTTTTAAAAGGGAATTTTCATATCATTTACTTTAGGCTAGAAATTAGTTCTTTATTTAGTAGTTTTAAATAAATCAATCCCAACACAATAAGGGGCTGGTTGATCAAAGGTAACAAAAGATCTTATCACTGTTCCAGCACTTCTAACTAGAAAATGAGCTAAAAAATTTGCTTACCTAAACATAAAATTAATAGAAACAAACTAAGGTCCATTCAACAACAACCTAACATGATTAATAATGTCGCTAAAAGGGTGGTAGTCATTATTGCTTCTGTAGTTAAGGTTAATGGCCTTAGCATAATCTGTGAAGACTTTGATATTCCTATATCCTTTATTCTAGCAAAGCTGCAGCCCTTTTAAAATTTCCATCAATTTAGTTAAGGTAACTAGCATAGTCCTAATACATGTATTAAATCTAATAGCCTAGTTAGCATTGCAATTTCTAATTATCCATCACCATTTAACCGTCCTCACCCATCTTAAGTTTAACCCTTTTCTTAACATTTCCTTTTGCCTTTTTTCCTAAAGTGTAAGACACCTATAAAACATTAAGGTCTAATTGTGCTTTTTAGAGTGTAGCAAGACTCGACCATATTCTATCCACATCATCAATGTTAAAATGTTCTTACATCTACTGTACTAATTATCCTAATAGACATACCCAGATAGAATATGCTAAGGTACCTGTTATGTGAAACCCTTCCCAACTTCATGCTTGAGATTCCATAGCAACAAGTCTTCTCTGCTTAGAGATTCAAAATGCACCCAGAGTTCTGGTTTTACCAGCCAACCTATTATCTTTCAACATGCTTCAATCTTAAAGGAAATGTAGCACATCTTTACTTGAATCATAGCTAAGGGGACACGTGTTTGAAGCAAGAAATCCTCTCTTAGCTCTCAACTCTGTTGCATGCATCTTGGTATTTACCACTAGCCAAAAAAGCACTTTAACTTTCTCAAGTCCATGCCAATGCCAAATCTTGCTCTAGATTCCACTTATCAGATTATCATTAGCTACAATAAAAGAATCATATGCAAAATGAATATTAAAGTTACCATCATTTGATGGTTTTTAGATAAACATAACCTCACTTCTCTAAACTCTTGAAATATGGGTACTAGTTATATTTTGTATAATGTGAATAGGAAGTTAAAGTTCCATTCTTCACAGATACCAAACACCATCCACAGTTATAAGATTAGCAACACATTCCTCCGAATCAAACAAGCGATTAAAAAACATATAAGCAAAAGGAGCCACACAAGGAGCCCAAGTGTCTATCCAGAATTTGGTATTAAGCCTATTACCAATTCTTGACCCAATGCCTTCCATAAAATGTTTGCAATACGTAAAAATACTTCTCCATGTCAGAGATGCTGCTTGTTTCTTCTTTACTACAAGAACATGTGCCACTCCAAACTTATATTTGGATTTTAAAACTTGTATCCACAAAGCATTCCCATTTTACAAAAGCTTCTAGCACGATTTAAAAATAAAAGCCTTATTTTGCTTGTCAAGGGCTTTTATACCCAACTCACTATTCTTCTTATCACACAGGATTTTGCTTTAAGAGAGTAAATAGAATTTCTTCTTTTCTTTATCAGTATCCTGAAGGAAACTTCTACACAGCTTATCCAAATCTAACAAGAGTTTCTTTAGGATTAAGATAGATTGTATATAATAGCTAGGTAACGCAGTAACAATTGACTTGATTAGCACAGCCTGCCCAACTATATTCAAATAATTCCTTTTTCCTACTGGAAAGTCTTCCTTTAGCTTTATCTAAAATTGGTGAAAAGAGCTAAAACAAAGCTCTCTTATGGATGAGTGGGATTCTTGAGTATTTTTCCAAATCTCATGTAAATCTTACTTGGAATAGTCTGCTAAGAGCAAGTGTATTATTAAAGTGCGCACATTCCTAGAACAACACATGTTAGTCTTGCTTTTATTCATTCTCTGGCCTAAGGAATCACATAACTTCTTCATACAACTATTAACTTCAACTTAGTTTCTAGAAGCTTCCACAAACAAAACTAGATCATCTGTAAAGAATAAGTAAGGTATCTTTAATCCCTATTTATTAAGCTTTACTGGTCTCCATTCCTTAGCATCAACCTCATATCATATTAAATGAGGCAATATCTCCATACACAAAGTAAACATATAAGGAGACATGGATCC